TCAATTTTCAGGGGGTTGACCAATGAATTTTTTCAGAAAGTTTCACCAGAAGTAGACCAGCCCTAAAATGAAGAAATGTACCTGTCCAGAAAAGTAGCCCCCCCCTGCAAATGGCTCAAATATATAGTGCCACTTTCGGACCCTATTGCATCTAAATTGCTCAGAATTGGAAGCCCCGAGTCCGGCCCAGAGGTTCAGTCTCAGATTTCTTCAATTCCCCAGTTCCATGGCTCTCAGGACCCTCTAATATATAGAATATTTTGAGGGTACAACTTTTATTAATGAGCTCGGCGGACATATTTCTGGCCTAAACTGCAACATAGATTCGTCGTGTACAGGCAGCCGCCAACGTTGAGATTGACAATTCCAGCCACGAGGAGTAGGCCTATATAGACCGGACGACTTCACAAGCAAATGTTTTATTAAAGGCTCGTTTGAGAAATCTTCCAATCTCAAACGTTACAGTAACTATAGCCGTTTCTATCCGAACAGAATTTGTTTGGAGAAACTCCTCTGAAACCACCCTTCTAAGTATACTCAGCACCGATTGTTTTATGCCCCGTTAAGGTGGTTTCAGCATCTTGGCCCATACTCTGAATATGATGCCGACAAATTTCCAACTGATCTGCGGATGGTTTTGGTAGTAAATGCTTAGATCGACTGATGGGGAAAATAGATATATAAAAATATAAAACACCTTTACATTGTAATTCGGATTACTTTGTAACGAAATATCTCCATATTAAACCAGGCTGAGGAAGGCCATTTCAATTACTGAGAATTTCCTTCCACGCTGTTCAGATTCATACTTGAAAGTAATCCAAGGGATCAAGGGGAAAAATTGGCACAGAAATTTCACAGTTTTTGTGTTAAAATTGCAGCATATTTTTCGACTGCAGCTTACAAATTTTGACCTGGTTTGAGAGTGGTGGGGCATTTTATACAGGCTCATAACATGTACATTATCTTGCCTATTGCATGTATGTGTGCATAACTATCGTTCCAACATTTGTCCTGTTAACATAAGATCACTATTTCAAGTAAACGTCTCCGACTCAGATTACAACCGTGTTTTCCCAAATCCCCTTGTAAGCTTTCTAAGTTGTATGTTGCATGAACTTCGAGTAATAATGCTAAAAACTACATTGTAGTAGAGCTCAGACTACGAAAAGTTTGCAATTTTGTAAAAACCAATTTTCTACTTCATGAAATTCAGCTTACCCTTTCACATTCAAAACAGAAAGACCAGACACTCAAAATTGAAAACATTACACCTGCACGTGCCAAGAGCAAAATCCAGTTGTTTGTACTGGTTACACTGAAATGAAATCTCATATTTTTTTGGAAAGCAAGGCCGAGTCTTAAAGCAATAGGGTCCGAATAGTGCGTGCCCACGGAATCACCAAGATTACCAATAAATATTCCCAGTAGCACTTTTGCCCTAATGTCCTAAGGTTGCTAGCCAGTCAATTGGTCCTAAATTCCCTACTCTGGCAAAATCACGATTTTTTGCGGTAAATGGCAGGCGATGACACAAGCAGCAGGTTCTGTCTTTGTGATTTTGACTGAAATTAGTGCCCTGAAATGCTTTTGTATACGAATCACTTTCTGAAAACATTGATTAATTTTTTTCCCGTAAAGCCACTAAACGCAAACTAAAAACTGAACACAAAATGCCAGATGGTTCCTCGAAGAGCTTTATATTGATAACACCGTCTAAAGACTCTGGTAACACCCCCCGATCGGCTGATGCAGTGATTTCTGTGGTGTGACAACCGTGCTCAGTCTCTCAAGCGTCTGTGTTCAGTTTCCGTTGTCAAGTTCTTTCCGAATGATGGTTTTTCAACAGTATTTTTTGGAGCCATTCTGCTCTCACATGGAAGCTCAAAAACCCAGGGAGTTGATCCTGGCAAAGATTTACAAATTTAGATTTCCAAAATGGTGACGGCTTCAAGAGTAGTACTTAAAGGCTTAAATATATTTTCTTCCGAAGTCATCAGACTACACACAGGAAAATGGAGCCAACAATGACATATGGAACTAAATATTTGATTCGACATTTGTCTCAGCCTCCCAAGAAAGACGTTTTTTCTCATTTTTGGTAGTGAGAGTATTCATTAGTTTTGCTTTATTCAAATTTGTATGCTGATCTGCACCTCAGTGTTTTGGGTTCATCCGCTGACTTCTATAACAGTCATGCGGACGCTTACAAACACAAGACTTTAGTTGAAATCGATATGAAACTATCAGGCCACAAACATGAATATAATGATCCTGTTAATTGACTTCGTATGCGTTTCCATTAATTTATCGCACACCACACAAGCATACTGATATAAATTTAAAAATCGTGGAAGGCTTCTGAATTAGTGAGAGCAAATACTTTGATCAACTTAAGGTTGGCATTAAAACAGAAGGCATGATTTCAGATAGAAAAAGATCGTGATTTCACTTGTAATCATACGATTGCAATATTCCGCATTTCATAACCATTCATCGGTTACATGTGTACAACCACATCTATGAACCAAAATTGAAAATTGTAAATTAAATTCCTTTTTTCATCGCGTGCATGTAAGTGACATAATACACGGAAAGAGAGTGGATAACTTTCGTTGCTGGCTAGAAGTGTGGGTTTACATTACAACACTTTTTCAAAGATCTTCCGATCTTCTTCAGAAATCTGAGAATAAAAGTCGAAGAAAATAAAAACCAGATAACGACACTAAACAGATTGGAATAATGGCTTCGGTTGAAAGGGCATAGAAAAAAGTCCAGGGGGTAACCTGTCCAAGTAACGAAATGACAAATAGTAAAAGTTACAATCAAGTGCCCTGAAGGAACCAAAAATATCGGAGCTATTTATCAGCGAAAACGGTGGTCCTTTTTTTTAAGACAGTGGAAGAGCCTTACTTTTTACATCAAATGTAGCAAATGTGGTGAACTGTTGTAGAAATGACAATAAAATACTTCCTAAAAACAATTAAGACATTTCTTCGCGCAATAATACCTACCCAGCAGGCACACAACGTAATAATCAACGTTGAATTTTGGTTGAAATCTGCTTGGCATGTTGTTGCAATGTCGATAACTATATTATAATGCGATGTTATCTCAACGTCACTTTTGTGACGTAGTTCTGACGTCGCAGTAAGACATTTAGTAAACACTGGAAGAGTGGTTAAAATCGGTCACGATATTAGTGACCTCAAATCAATATTTACCCAACGTTGGTGAGCTAACGCTGTATTGACGAGAGTTCATCATTAATTCGTGGTTGAATTATTGTTGAAATTATTGTGTCGCGATCATATTGCTCCGATCCGAAAAACTTCGAACTATTTAAGAATAGTAATATCACTCTAAAGCTTAAATTTTCTCCGATGCAACAAAGAAAATCAAACAAGATCACGCTGATGTAAAGCACAAATAAACAATTAAGATTTAATGAGAATGCTAACATTTAGCTTATCAAGAATAAGGATAACACAGAAAGGGGCTGATACGAATTAGTTTATGATGATAAGGTCGAGAATCAAAAAAAAGATCTTTTATAAACAAACAAATCGTACGGGCGAGAGCTTGGCAGGAACTACGTCGAAGAATGTTTGACTCCAATGGCGAAAAACAGTTCAGTCTTAGACGGTGCTAACGTGAGCTGAGAAAGGGGCGACGACCACGTCCAATAGAAGTGACCAAGCTCGAGACGACATGGTGAGGGCATGATGACCGTTGCAAATACTGGACTTCGTGATCCCACAAACTGGAATTGGATTCAGTCCACAAACTGTCTCTTCCGGTATGCAATTCAGGCTCACAGTTCACTTGGCCTGGATGCGNCTCTTTGCAGTGTCACTCCGCAGACGACTCGCCGCGGCCACCCCGGGGTAGACCGGGCGCAAAAGGTCAAAGAGTCAACGACCTTTCACACGGCCCATGCACGTAAAGTCAAATTGTCCCCCAAAATCTCTCTGGCTGTGTGCGTCTCTTTCTCTGTATCACAGAGTCCCCAACTCTTCTAGAAATTTCTCAGCTTCTGCAACTTCTTATCATAAACATATTAAGGTTCTTAAAAATAAACCTTTTAGCATCACATATTCTTACAACCAACTTCCAGAACGCGCATTATAAAACTTAGGAAATTTGTTATCGTTTATATATACAGTGTGTAAATCATCTTTGAAACTTTTGTCCTTTACAGATTATAAATATATATAGAATTTGCTTAATCTCGAAAAAACCTTGCTTGATAAATCAGGTTATCAGCCAAAACTCCATGTGATGTATACTATTTTGAAATGATATTTAGCTGTCTTTTGGTTAGCATGACAATCAGATAGAAGAATGAGCTGGTAACCTTTGTTTCTTCAGCAAGGTTCTTTCCACGCTTAAGCAAATTTTGTACTTAGCAGTTCCATGAAATTGGCCCCAGCTGGCCACAGTTTTGGGCTCCTTCGTGCCCGTAAGCTGATGTAAAATGAGCTTGCATTTTTGTTTCCTTATTTTTGTAAAGTCTCCTTTTGTGAATAATATTATTGGATGTGTTTTGCGAAGTCCATTATACTACTTTGAAAACCCAGAACTTCCTGAAATTAGGGGAATTGGTCATGTTATGTTGGCAGTTACAGAGAGCGAAGTTTGTCAAGCAAAATTAAACCCACGGTTTGTCACGTCAGCCACTATGTCCTGATTGCGCCAACAAATGCCTGCAGGCCTAGGCAAAGGCCGTAACCTCACAGAGTGTTTGTATCGCCCGCTTTCATGCTCTTCCACATGGCGTACCTGCTGCATTACACCACGTACCGTAATGTGTGGATATTACAGCTGCAGTGGAGGCTTCAGATGGCCTCGCCGTGACCTCGCGTTTGGAGCCCTTGTGCACTCATGGAAGGCATAAACAGCGTGACTTTTTGACCCAAATCCCCAATTCAGGCGAGTTGCTGACGAACTTCAAAGTTTGAAATGCTAAGGGTGTTGTTACATGTATTAATAATCATTTCTGATAGTGAAACCAAGAATTTTTCCAAAGCGCTGTAGCTGGCAAGCCTGAAGAAATCTGTAGAGGAGACAGTGAGAAGCAGGTAGGGTTTAGAGGTGGGAAGAAAACCCCAGAGGAATATTCTGGGTGGAACCCACGGAATCAGGTACAGACTGAAAACCCAATCCACATGTGGACCGGGTCGGGATTTGAACCCGGACCGCACGGGAGGAAAGCGAGGGAGGACTACGCCAACGTGAACCCCCCCCCCCCCGGAGAGTGGCAGCTATGGTGTTAAAACCATTCTCAGTTCAAAATAGTCCAACAAGAAGTTTGTTGCTGTGTGTGAAATGTAGGTTATGTGTACGATACGAATTGTAACAACTATTAGTCAAGGCGTTTGTTCAACATTTTCATTCTCATAATCTACCAGTCAATTATTCTTAATTCAAAAGGAATTGTTGATAATCTCATTTGCTTTGTTCATTTAGTCCAGGATTTCCCAGCACCATTGAAAGACGGGTTTTTACGTGTGGACATTTGGGCCGTCACAACTGCAGGTGAGAGATTAACATACACTGATGTACATATTTTGAAACGCGGTGCAGAATATTTGAGGCCTCGAGGAAAGCACTAAGAAGGATTTTTTTTCCGGACGGAACTTGACCGTCGTTGTCAACTTTACCTCGAGTTCCTCGCCAAGGTCAAATCCTCCGAGCGAACAGCCATGTTCGTTGGTTCACACCGGTGCCCGATTCATTCACGGTAGCCGCTTTCAATTCGAATCCGAGATTGGAGATCTCCTGAAAAATCAGCATACGTCGGCTTTCAAACTCCTGTACAATTGACTTTCCCAGAAACGAGCGCTGGCACGTAATTTTGCCATCTCGCTCGACGGAAAGAAAAAGGTCCTTGTCTTCCAGGCGGGTGTGGCTGCGTATGAGTGACAGGAGCAGAGGTAGTTGCTTCAGGGTCTCGCCACTCCCAGCATAGGAATAACGGACAGTTCTCAGCGCAGATAGTTCCACAAACTCCATTTCCCTTGTCTGAATATCTACTGTAGACTATACAGCAGAATTATGCTGAAGTGAATGGGTGCTCGCTCACAAAGTACTGTACGTCATGAGCAAAGTGCTGTTACAGATGCGTGGATCTGGTTCCCAGTGGCAAAGGTCATGGCCAAAGTGCTTTATGCCTAAATGTCGTTCCCAGTGGGTATGTGGTTTCCTGCATACGCTCTATAAACACTGCACGGTCAGACTGACCCGGAATGAAGCCTGAAAGATGGCCCCTGATGGCGCGTTTCCGGAACCCTTGGATGGAAAAAATAACGTGCAAAGGTTTTAGAATTTGTAACAATTTTTTTCGTTCAGTTCTTCTTAATTATATCTTCGTTATTTCAATTTACAAAAACTGAAAAATCACCTAACCTAGAAATATCTTGCCTAAAACTGAAACATCACCGAAAATCTAAACTACATGAAGAACAGTGCAACGACTCGGAGGCAGTCTCATACGCAGATGAACATTTAAGTTTGAAATTTTATGGTTGTCCGTCGGTAAAAGCCGAAATAAAACATATCAAAATATTTTAAATAGCCTTATCATTTATAAGTGATAAACTTAAAGCAATATTCTACTTCAGTTACGAAAGATTCACATTTTTTATATAACCTTTGCTGACACAACTGCGTGATGTCAACTCAACGGAATCTGGAACCCATCGACTGCAAGTAGGTAAATCTTTGCAACGTTGCACAATCTGGCTTTCACATAAACATGGGCAGTGAAAACAAACGTAGGTCTACATGAACATGGAGACCCAGGTACGATATCGCCGGACGTGAAAGGTCGTTATAAGAATGTCACGG